GCAGGCCCCTGCGCATTTCATAAGACTTCTTTTATTAATATTCTGTATTTGCGCGGCGCTTTTACAGGGTCTTTTCCAGGCTTGCCTGCTCCTCTACGCCCTGCTCGGGCCTTTCCTTGCCAAGGCTCTCCCGGACATGCTTCAGCACATCGCCCAGCCCTTTGTGCTTGCGCACAGCCAGCACCCGTTCAATGTGCTCTGCCACCACAGCCAAGTCTTTGCGCGAGTGCTTCATGGCACGCAGTATCTGCTTGATCACGGGCGTGCTGGACGTCACGTTGATTTTTTCGGCGCGAATCTTCCCGAGAATAGACAGCACCCTCTCCCGAGGAAGCCGGGCTATGCCCAGGCCCTCAAGCGAGTGCACCGTCGCCCTGCTCTCCGTCAGCGCATATATTGCCAGCTTCTCTATTTCGTGCACGGTGCGCTCGCTCTGCTCCAGCGCCTGCAGCGCGCCCAGGAGGATCTGCCCGTACACAAAGTCGTGCATTCCCATCCGCATGCTCTGCACGTACTGCGAGCACGCGTCGCCCAGCTCGCTCTCGCCCTTCAGAGTTCTCAGCACCGCCAGCCCGAGCGCGCGGACTTTCTCCATGGGCGCGCTTTCCGCGTCAATCTTCTTGTATAGCCCCAGGACCATTTTCCACGCTCCCTCCAGGCGCTTGCATCGTTTTGCCAGAACCAGGATCGCCTCTGCCCGCACAGAGACGTATATCCGCAGCTTTTCCTTGCTCTGCCGGGTCCCTGCAAAGAGCGAGATGTGCTGCTCCATCCGGTCCTCCTGCCCAGGGAGCAGGTTCTCCGTGTCGGGGAAAAATCCTGCCAGCTTCTCTAGAACTGCGCGCGCAAGCTCCTCCTCTGCGAGCGGGAGGTGCTCAAGCACCAGCCGCCCTGCGCTCTTCACGTTTGCGTGCTCGGCCTCTGTCGCCAGCGTATACGCAAACTCTAGAAGCGCACCCTCCTTTCCCGTGTAAACCGTGTGCCCGTGCGCGTACAGTATGCTGTTCATCACCGCCTCGACGTCGCTTTCCGCGCCGCTCTCATCTGCCCATCCGGTGACCATCTGCAGCCGGCTTCTTAGCTGCTCGATCTTGTGCGTGGTCTTTAGAATCGTCTGTATGGCCTTGTTCAGCGCCTTGCCCTCCAGCGGCTTCATCTGCGCAAGAATCTCATCTATCTCCATCTTCGCAAGCTCCGCGCGCCCAATGCCGCGTGCCTCAAACTGCTGCACAATGCCCGCAGGAAGCCCAAAGTCTTTCTTTTTTGTCTTTTCTTCTGCGTTTGCGCTCGGCCGGTTTTCTTTTCTGTCCTCTAGCTGCATTTTGCAAAAATATTTGGGCGTTCTCTTTGTATGTGTGCAGACTGCGGGCTTGGGCCGCAAAAACGCAGAGCCTTCCGCGCGCTCTTCCTTGCTGGGCGCCTCTCCGCGCCCCCTGCTGCGTGTTTGCGCTTTTCCGGAGAAAATTTGCAGCCCCTTGGCGCGTTGGAAAAGCGTGCAAACTTTACGTAAGTCTCCAAAGCTAGAGACTTTGTAAAAGAAAAAAAAGTGTGCTTGGTTGGAAAATTTCTTCACATCGACCGGCTTTTGCGGCTTGCTAGAAACACCGCATAGGCACGGCACTCTTTCAAAGATCCGCAGGGCCTTCAGAACGCCAAGATGCGCGAGAAAAAGGCGCCCAGCAAGGAAGAGAGTTGCAGCAGTTTTTACCTCTTTGTGCGGCACTCCTAACCGTTTTAGTCGCCGCAAGAAAGAGGGCCGCGCGACAGGGCTTTTTGGACCACGCAACCATGTAAGCCCGGGTGAGACTAATAGAATATGCCCGAAGCATACCAGACAGCGACGACACACACCCGCGAAAGGCCGTGGATGGGCCCCGGCATGCTGGAAACAGAAGTGCGCATAAGAAGTTTGTGCCTTTTAGAATTTCAGCGCCTGTCGAGAAGGCCAAGATCGCGATTGAGACATATTTTCTATCGATATGGATGGCTGAAATCTGTAGTGGCTGTTCAAAGTATAAATGCAAGAGCAGTTTCAATTTTCAGATGCACAGAAATTAACAGAGCATAAATGCAACTCAGTCTAAAATTGGTAGCCGGGCCTCTCCAAAAAACAATAAATCTTTACTGGAACTTGTCTTAGACAACAACCCGGATAACCCGAATGGCAAAACCAATCAACAAATCGAACAGCAACGCATGCTTGTTTGGAATTTCGCGAAAACATGCACGCAAAAGCTACGGTCTGCAGCCATTTTCAAATGGCGTAATAAAATGCAAGCATGCGCAGCCGCTGCAGACATATGTGCATTCGTGTGCTGTTCTATTGCACCACAGCCCGCCCCTATAACCTAGGGAATTAGAAAATTTTGCTGGAGCTGCATTTCTGCATGCTGCATTGTCTAAAAGCAGGGATTCGTTGGCGTGGCGCGGGTTTTCTATTGATTTGTAGGGAAGGGCTGCAGAAATATAAAAAGAAAGTTTTTATCTCGGGCATGAAGACATGCATTTTTTTAAGCGTGCTTGCTGTGCTGCTAGGGATATGCAGGGCCATCTCTTTTATGGATTCGATTGAGTGCCAAAGGTCTGTATTGTGCGGCGTAGGAAAGCCCCATGTGGTAGTAAACACCAACTGGGTAGGAAACCCGATTTATTTATACATGTGCAGCCATTTGGGGTACATGCACAACATGCGCTTTTTTTCGCCGTGGATACAGACCAAATACACTATCGTGCCGTCTGGGCCCGAAAGCCCCGGCGAGGACGAATGCATATATATAAGAGAGCCGCAGGGCGACAGCGTCCACGCGTGCACAAAAGAAAGAGATTGCAACTCAGAGTACGTGCAGGAGTATTACACTGCGCTGCTCCGGATGTTTCCGTCGCTAACCGGGGACTGTCTCTCCATTGAGGCCGTGCGCAGGGACTCTCTCACCGCCTTTCTGGCACATAGCTGCAAAAAGACAGAAGCGCTCTACGTGCTGGCGGCCCTGCTGCTTCTGAGCGAGGGCGTGGATGTGCCGATTGAGGCGAGTGGGTCGCGCGTTGTGCTGTTCTACGGCAAGGAGCAGAAGAGCATTCTGCTGGAAGTGGAGGTGGATGCGGAGGGCCGAGACGACGGCGCCCCAGAGGCGTCGCATTTGGAGGTGTGCCAGGTCATACAGTTTTTCAAAAAACACAAGGACGGCAGAAAGAGGCTTGCTACACACCAGGAGTTCGACTCCGTAGAGTTCATGGAAAGCACACAGTTTCTGATAAACTCATACATAAACAAGTATATAGAAGACATGCCGGAAATGACATGTTTTCTGATGCGCGTGTATGAGCTCCTAGATCGCTTGGGGGTGGCTTGCGACTTTTCAGAGAAGAACACAGCCTTTAGCAGGATTTTCATGCCCTTGGAAAGCATGAGCGCGGCGCTGCGGCTTTTGGCGCCCGTTATAAACATGCAAATGCACATGGAGAATTTAGAGGCATTTGTGCCGGTTTTAAACGCACAAGAAAGCCTGGAGACTTTGGACAGGGCAGATTGCATGCGGAGCGCTCAGGGTATCTGTGGAAACCCACTATGCAAGGCGATCGATGGCGCGCAGCCTCCCAACAAGTCAGTTGGCTGCTGCGCCAAGCAAGGAATGCATGCGTTTTTTCTGTGTCTTGCGTATTCCCCAGAAACGCAAAACTACGACATCTACGAGATGCTAAGCACGGCAGTTGACAGGGAGAAAGCCGGGGCTATCCAGACATTTTTTGAAAAAGAGACCGCGTACATAAGGAAGGTTGCAATGCACAAAGCCGACTTGTCGTGGAACTCGGTGTTTCCAGATGCTCTGCACAGAGATGCTGCAAGCTTTTCAGAAAGCCTGTCCAGGGCGGGCTCGGGAATGCTGAACTTTTTGTACGCAGCCGCCGAAATGACTGGGCAGCCTGCCGCGATAGTCAAAAAAATGCAATGGTGCAGAGAGGTTGTGGGCATAGGCTGTTTGCTAGACACCAAAACGGGGCTGAAAGTGCGCGAGTGCATTCAAGATCTCATTCTCTCTCTGGCAGTCAACAAGCAGATAAAGGTAGAGGCCGCGCGCACCAACAACGTTCTTGGGCCTGGGCATGGAGAATATGGAATGAACGAGCTGCTGTGCCTGACACACTTTGACAAAGACGGCGCACCAGAGCAAAAGCTGCAGCTTGTGTTTGCAGGGGGGCACATGGGAGTTATACAGAAAATTCTTCCCCGGCTTTCTTTTTCCACTGAAGAGACAAAAGCCTTGCTAAGAAACAAGAGAAACTACATGCTGCAGCACAGCTTTTGCGGCCGCATTCTTGCCAAGTACATTAACATGAAGATTCTAGAGCACAACCTAGTCAAGCCAGAACTTCGGTGCATCGAGCTGAAAATTGCTATAGAAAGCGTAGTGTTGAAGCCCATTGAAAGCCCAAACAGAATATTTCTGGTGTTTCCTGTTCAAGACTTAAGGTACAAAATAGATATTATCTGCGGCTGTTTGCTGCAGGCCATGTGGCGCGGCATCAAGCTGACACAAAGCCATCCAATTGCACTTCTTGTTTCCAACGTCGTTGGAAGCGTTCCGCTGGACAACAAAGAAATTCGGTGCTGGACTTTAGGCGTTTTGGCGTTCACCGGCATGCTGGAGACTCTATGTCCGCTGGTGCATCTTTCTTCGCCCATGGCGCGCGATCTCTTTGCAAACGCGCCTCTGCTGGAGATACTAACGCCATTCAAGGAAGACCAAAAAATATCCTGCAGGCAGACGATTATGCAGTATTTTAGAGCGTACAGGGAAAAGACAATGAGGCCCTTTTTTCACTGCAGAATTATTAACAACAGGCAGTATCTGTGCGAGCTTTTTGAATATGTCTTTGCACAGCCAACAGCGTGCAAGGCAGAGGAGATTTCCCAAATCCTCTTAGAAGGGGTGGGCCCAGAAGATCTGGAGCAGGCAAGGGTGCACAGCTGTGTGCTAAGCCTTGCATGGCTGTGGCTTTCGGCGACGAGGCGCAAAGACGACCACGAGCTGGCCATAAAAATATACAAAGCCATTGACCTAAGTGCTGGATACGCGCCGGTCTTTGAAAAGTTCTGGGCCATTTGGGAAAAACCACAAGAGGATGGCATCGTGGAGAGAATGGAGCTGATGAAGGAGTCCTTGGTTGAAAATGGCGGAAACCACAAGTTTGTGCAGGTTCTGAGTATTTTAAAAGGATAGCCACAGGGCAATAGACATGAGAGTTTCATGGCTGGGCGGCCAAGCCGCCTGCTTTCAAAAACGCAAGGAGCGGCGCCTCATAGCCACTGTCGCCCGGGAGGAAGCAGAGAAAACAACAAGGCATCGAGCTAAAGAGTAGAAGGCGCGTATATGCCAGGGCTGAACTAGCATGCGCCTATATCCAACAAAAGGAAGCGGGCACATCGCATGCTGCAAACATGGAGCTTTTCTGGCGCGCAATGCCGCACAGGGTGCTGTTCCTTTGTTTTTGCGCAGCATGCAGACAAACGCGCCAAGCATAGATGCGCATGCACGGTTAGTCGAAGCTCGGGCACGCCAAAATTCAATAAATCTTTACTGAAGCTTGTTCTAGGCCAGCAGGAGGATTTTTCCCAAATTTACGGCACACATAACTTGAATAACGCGAATTCAATCTACTTGTTTATTTAGAGCATGCCGGTGTAAAATATCAAAGCGAGTGCCCCATGCACTCTGCCAACCCCACATAAGCCCAGTCCGGGCGGGGAAGTATATAGCGCTGGAATGAGAAGAGCCAAAGCCAGCGCAAGCGCATCTAAGGCCGCCCGCTTGCAAACAGCATAGGGCTGGGTGTTTCGGCAGGGCAAATAAGCACACTTGTTTGGGCGCAGACCGCTCAGACAGCAAGGAGAAGGCATGCCATGCTCTGGCAGGCCTACTTCTGCAGAGCAAGCGGGTGTGCGTGGGCCAAAGCAATGCAGGGCGCGTGTGCTTTGGAAAAGCGAGAGAAGCAAGCAGTGGCGCAAAGTGCACTAGTCTTCTTAAAAGGCGCCCGCAGCCTGCTTGCGCATTTGGAATGCGAAAAGCCCGCAAGGGAGAGAAAAGTTTTCTAAAGCTGGGGTCTTTGAAACAAGGAAAGAAAGCGCAAGCAATGCAGCGCTTGGAGCCGATTGTGCAGCTGCAGGGAGTTTTGAGCGGGCCAGCTGGCTTCCGTTTCCCATCTGAAGCATGCTGTGCAGAAAACGGCCGTGGCTAAAATCGTAGTGCGCGCGCTCTCCTTTAAAGCCCAGAGAACGTGTCCTTTTATAGCCAGCTCTGAATGTAAACGCCAAGCCTTTGCGTGCAACGCTGCTCTCGCCCAAGCAGGGAGACGCAATGACTCGCCATGGGCAAACAAGATGAATCCTGCTAAACTGTAAAGGTACAGTTGCTCAGAAGACAAAGGACATGCATAGAGTTGGAACTCTATTTGTGCGCCGAGAGCTCAATAACATTTTTAATATTTTTAAGTCTTTTTGATTTGGCTGAAACGGCTTTAATTAAATGCATACTGTCAATTGCCAATGCGCATGGTTGCAATGCTGGAAGTATTCGTGTGAAACTGCAGCCTTTGTTATTTCTCGGCCTGCGTAGATAGGCATTATTTAATATACCCCGCAACCTCTAAGTTATGTAACCCCTTAATTAGGCCTTTCTAAGCAGCAGCCAATTACGAGCAACTGTGCTTTTAGCATATAACCCGAATTGTTTGATAATGATCGCAAAGTTGAGTATAAGTATAAGTACACGATATTTTTTAAAAAATATGAAAGAAGAAGAGAAAAACAAAATAACGCTAAATGTTCAAGGGCTAAAGAACAAAATCAATGGGTTTTGCTTGTATAATTTAAATTCCATGGATAAGAATGTTGAGGACATTGTAGAAATAATATGCCAGAACATACAACTAAACTGCGCAGGCCTGACCAGAGAGCAAGCCGACTTGGTTCTAGATATTGCGCGCACTCGTATTTACATAACTGTTTGGAGGCTGATCCGAGAGGAAGTTGACATAACATACAAGAGAGTGGACAGGTCTTTGGACGAGCACAATTTAATCACAAACCAACTACTTACCATCAAAAGAATGGAGGAGATCATGACCACAGAACTCCCTGCTGCCGAAAGAGATTTGTTGGCCAGCAAGGTAATCAGTGTCGGGCCTGCAGCAATAGACCCCGACATTGTGGATCGAAAAGCCCTGGTACTTAAGTTGGAAATTCTTATAAAAAGCATAAGAAGGGATATTGCAGAGGGCATGGGCACATCCACGGAGGAAAGCAGTCGAGGCGCTAAGCTGGAGATACAAAGGTTGGAGCAAGCTTTAAGCACGTGTGCGCTGGAAAAAGAATCAAGTCTGAAGAGGGTAGAGGGCAGCAAAAGCAGTATGAAAGCTTGCATGGAAAATGTCAACCAAAAAAAAAGCGAGCGCGTCGAGCTCTTTGTGAGCACGCTTGCTTATAGGAACAGTCTTGATGCGATTGAGCGCGAACAAAACGAAAAGAAGCTAGGAAGGTGGCCAGTTCATGTAACAGAGAGTGAAAATGCGGTTTTTAAGGGGAATCGGCACGTTTTTTGTTTGAACCAGCTGATGGATTTTCAAAAAGGCGCGTACTACCGTATAAAAGAAATCCTAGAAGTGTGGAAAAAGGGAAGGGCGGATTTAAACAACTTAATAATCAAACTAAAGGCGCAGACATATGTGCCCGCAGAGTACAAAGACTCGGCTTTCAATAACGAAGGCGGCGGCCCATCGGTCAAGCCCTTCGAAACTCTAAGGAGAGAGCTTATGTCGGCGATCGATGATGAAAAGGCGTGGGTGAGCTCCGATCAGGGGCCGTCTATCCCGAGGACATATTTCATGGAAGCTCGGCACCGCGATGCGTGCTGCACACTGCAGAAGATAGAAGAGATAGACCGCGTTATAGGAGAAAAAGAAAACAAAGAGATAAAAAAAAATCGAGCGCACATTAAAGAGCTAGAGCGGAAAATGCGCGAGGATGAAAAGAAAATATCTGAGTTGAATGGGTTAAAGCGCATTCTGGAATTCGAAAAAGAAGTCGAGTCCCGTTTGAATGCGCAGCTAGTTGATGCGTATAACTCTTCTTATTTTTTGATCGAAAACATTGAGTTCAATATCGAAAGCCTAAAGGACCAGCTGGAAAACGGGGGAAAAAACAGCCTCAAGAAATTGGCCCTGAAAAAACAGATTCTAAAGGCTGAGCAAGCGCGGGATGAAGAAAAGGAGCGGCTGGGCCATATTTACAGATCCGTGCGTTCGCGTTTGTTAGAGGAGAAACTGCCGAAAATTTTTAACAGAGTCGAATTCCTCAGGAGTTTGCAGAACACCATTCCGATGGAACAAGAAAAATGGAGGCTCCGGCTACAAGAGCCATTTATAACCCCGGAACATGAAGATTACACTTACGAAATCAAAAACGAAAGCAAGCAAAGGAGAGCCTTGATCCGGAAGCTGGACGCGAGCGGGGCTGAGCTGAGCCATGCTTCAAAAACGCTGGAAAAGATTGAGGCCGCATTAGCGGGCGGCCTTAAGCTAGCCGACGCATACGAAGAAGTGTTCAACATACTCAAAGTCGACGAGATATACTGGAAAATAGTTCTAGAAATGCGGAATGAACTGGAAGAAAAGGAAGAAAATTCGAGCCCCAACCTTTCTGATCTCAACTCGTTTATGGTCCAAACGAAAAACAATTATTCGTATGTAGACTCTCCAGCTGCCAATGCCAATGCTGAGTATGTGAACAGCATAGTTCAGCAGAATATAAGCGAGAAGGTGGAACAAAGAGCAAAGCGGGAAATGAGGCTCACTGCACAAAACCCGGACATCGTTGAAAAAATGGATGTCGACTTTACTGAGACGAGCCCCTCGCTGCCCGAGCCCTCCTTCCATTTGCCAGTTGCTTCCATAGTGAATGAGGTAGACAGCTTTGTTTGCCATGTTCTGGACGATGTCGCCAAGAAAGGGGGCGATGCACACGCCGAGCTGAACAACCATCTTAACGACTCTCTGGCTTTGTTTGATTACGAGAGGTCCTTGGACACAGCCCAGCCTAAGAAGGTGTCTAAAGGATGTGCGATAGGCAAAGTCCGGCTATGCGTAGGCCTTTTGGCGACGATGGGGATGCTTTGCTTTTCTGTTGGCGCGGTAGCCAATGCAAAGTCGAGAAACGACAGCAGCTCGAACAGCTCGAACAATTAGAAATAAACATGCTTTATTCATTCATGTGGTTGGCTTGAAAGTACAGCAAATGCGGAGCCTTCGCTGTCCGCCGGCGGGTAGATCTTGCCTATTTCATTAGGAGCCTTAGAAGGTCCCCGCGCAGGCCAAGCTGGTTGCACTGTTTGGCGCTTAGAAGGCTCATGACTATGCATTTTTTTATGCTGCTTTTCTCCACGTGCCAAAAAAGGTTGCTGAGATTTTCTACGCCTTGCTTAATGCAGCCCTGCGCCAGGCTTGGGTGCGCGCCGGGCTCGTATTGGCTCGGGCTGCACGAGGGGGCGCGCGCGGCAGCATGCTTTGCTTTATGCGGGTCTGCAGGCCTGTCCAGAGCGCTTTCTGCGCCCTCCTCTTCATATGTGCTCTGCTTTAGTATGCATCCAGCGTTCTCGCCTATAAAAACAGTGTAGCAGGGCTCGCTTCGCACTTTTCTAGTTTTGTACGCAATTGAATAGCAGGCGCCCGAGGCTGAGGTGGGGGAGACTTGAATAGAGGAGGCGGCATAGCCCATCTCGAAGTCCCATGGATCCGACTCCAGGTCTATCACCGCTAGCGGATAGTAGCCCTGGGGTCTTCCCGGGGGCGGCACAAGCACGTATGCCGTGATGACCATTCCCTCTAGGCTTTCAACAAACCCTGCAGCCTTTTCAGGGCCTGTTTTTTGGAACATGTGGCCAGAATGGTCTATTAGGCGAAACATCAGATCGTTGAGAAACAGCGGAAAACAGACTCGGCTTCTTTCTGCCCCGGGGGCGTTGTCTTCGCGCGGCCTAAATTCGACAAGCCGGAGCTTTGCGTTTTCTGTCGGGTTGTTCGATATGTAGTAGAAAACCAGGATTTTTTTGCTGAACTTGTTTGCGCCAAAGTATGTTGTGCTGCTCGGATCCATGTGTGCCAAACTATGCATTTCAGAGTCAAACAAAAACAGGTGTATTTGGCTCTGCGGCCTATTGTACATGTCTGCAATGTACTTCGCTATTTCTTCACAGGGAATGCCCGAGACAGCCCACGGAACTATAACAGGTTTCCGCGCCTGCGCCTCGTTGTCTATATAGTACACATGCTGCAAAGTAGGCTTTTCGCACGCAGAGCCCTCCCAGGCCTTGCTTTGTTTGTCGTTTGGCTCTGCTGTAACCTGGCAGTACCCGACTTTGCCAGGGTCTTTTTCCACGCTGAAAATGCTTAGATATATTTGTTCGGGGAAAAAAACACGGCTGCCCTCGATCGGGATGCCCTCTACGCTGTTTTGGTATACGCTGTAAAACGCCAAAGTAACCCGGAAAAGTGACTCGATGGCGTTTTTGGCAGAGCTGTGATCAGCGGGCTGCCTGTGCTGCTCCCCGCTGAAGGCAAGCTGCTCCAAATGTTTTTTTAGCTTTTTTGCCATGCCGGTGCATTCTTTTCGGGTTGCCCCGATGTCTTCTTCCGCGCGCGCGCATATGCTTCTTGCTATGCCAGACAAGCACTCTAGGGCACCGAAAAAGTCCGAAATATCCTTTGGCTTGTGCAGATGCTTTTCCAGAGAACAGCCCGCGTGCAGCTTTTTGTGCTTCTTTTTTAAAGACGCCAAAAACCCCATTTTGAACTCTGAAAAGTCTCTGAGTATTTCGGGCACGTTGAAAAAAGACCACAGCGCGCCAGAAAGCCTTTGGTCTTTCTTGCTCAAGTCTAGGCTTTTCAGCACGTCCAGATTTTTGCCGATTTCTCTGTGGTTGCTGTGGCTCTTCAAGGAAAAGCAAACTTGCGCATTTGAACCAAAAGGATGGATGTAGCGCGTCGCTGTGCTGTCAAAGTGCGCAAGATCGAACTCTGGCGGAGAGACCTCCGTAATAAAGCACACTGTCTGAGAGACCAGAGCGCTGCTCCAATCGGAAATTTCTTGCAAGTAGCTGTACTCCTCTGGCGTTTTGATGATTTCGCACAGTGCTGCCTTTTTGGCAGCAATGCCCGGCCCTAGATTAGACAGAAACTCTATATAATCTTTCTTTTTCAGCGAAAGAAAAGATGCCCGGATCTGTTTGCCAATGCATAAGGATTCGCCATAGGCGCCCTTTGCCCCAACGGGAAAAAACAGCTGGCATGTCAGATGCAAGTTCTTTCTGTGGAATCTATGCCCCAGGCTGCGCTGGATATGGCCTGTTGTGTCTAGCTTTGGCGAGGGCGTTTCTGGCGCGCAGGCGTTTGGCGTGTCTACAATCGCAAGTGCACCACAGCAGCCGGGCTGCCCTTTCAAGCTGTCTGCATGCGGGTGTGCAGCATCTAGCGGCGTGTAAACCGCAGAAATGCCCGAGCCGTCGCGAATAGGCCGCTTTTTGTGGGCGTCTGAGGAAAAAGTGCCAGAGCGGAGCGCCATGCCGCGCCCTGCTGTGCTGCCTTCTCCAAAAGACCTGTGGGCTTCTATGGCTGTAAGGCTGGCCGCACGCACAGAGGGCAGCCGCGCCCTGCAGAGCCAGAGGGTGTGGCTGCTTAGAATGCGCGCTCTGCCCCTGGGCAGATCGAAAGCCCTGCCGCATCCTTTGGCTGCTATGTCCTGCCCCGCGGCCATCGCAAAAACAAGCAGATGCCCTATAGAAAAAAATGTTGCGCATTTTCTAAATCTTTCCATGCCACTACTATTCATGCTATTCAATAGTAGATTTTTCTCATTTTTATTTAACCCAGAAGAACTTTTTGATTTGGCTCTATGCTTAGATCATGCATGCGTATTTATGTTTGGAATAAAAGCAAGGGCAGAGCATGGATGCGCTGGCAGACAAAAGCTTAGTTTGCAGGGGGCCTTCTGGGGAGTTTGTTGGAAACACACAGGGCAGAAGCGCCTTGGCGTGCCAGCAATCCTGCTATGCGGGGTGCAGGCTTCTGTATAGAAGAGCACAAAGTTTAAGCCGTCGATGAATTAGCTTTGTTGGTCAATGGCGTATGCGCACAGCTGCTTCTGGCTGCCCGCAGCAATCTGCTACTGTTTTTTGGTGCGGGGTGTATGGAAAAAAATAAAGCAAACAATGTGGGTATTTTGTGTAGACTTTTTCTAGCGGAGACGCGCAGGGCGCCGTGTTTTATTCTTTTTGGTTATTCGGGCAATAGAAGAAAAGAAAAGAAAAGCGGCGGAGGAAAGGTGTGTGGGCGGAGGTATTTGAGAAATGCGCATAAAGAACTCAGATGTCAGTGATTTATTCTAATTTTGGGATTGCAGAGCTCTGGCGCGTTCTTGACTTAAAGCCCTCCTTCCTTTGTGCTCTTTTCTGGCCCATTTGCAAGCGCTTCACATGCGACCATTTGGGCTTTTCTACCTTTAGTTTCATTCGCTGTGTTTGGGCTCGTGCATCGCTATCCCGCCGTCTTTGCGCCCTTATATACAGAAAAGGTTTTTCTGCGGGTGCGGCGTATAGTTTTCTGTACTTCTGGAGTTTGCAGGGGCTTGGCAACTTTCAACAGGCTGCCTTCCGGGGCGCAGCAAGCTCATGTGGTGTGCGCATAAGTCATGTTTGTGGTTGTCTATTCTTGGACAAATGCGGGTGTGTTGTTGCCCCGCCACAAACAATGATAAATTAAATGCGTATTTATTTAATCTGTTGGGGTTCCGTGGAGCTGAATGCTTCAGATGGGTGCCTCTAGAAATGCAATTTTGAAGAGACAGCAGACACAATCTGATTTTTGTATTGCCTTTCGTGCAAAGGCTTGCTTTCTGCTACTAGGGTGTTTGATATGCCAGGCTGCAGCGCGAATATCGGTTGACGATATAATGCAGCTGCAAACAAAAGAAATAAAAACAGGGCAGAAAACGGCACTGGTCCACCCCGACGGGCCGTTCAACTTTCTGCGCGGATACATATACGCGCAGCAGGGGTACATGTACAGCAAGCGCGTTTTGGCGCCAGAGATAGACGTCAGATACGACGTGTGCCCTGTGGAGAGTGGAAAGCCCGGGGCATACAAATACACGCGAGCCGCTGCGCACGACAGGCCATACGCGGCAAAGAGCGCAAGCGCTGCGGCAAGGTACTCCGAAGCGTACCACAAAATGCTGATACAGATGTTTCCGTCCACGGGCGGAAGACTGGCCATCTCTGTGAACAGGCACGACTCTATGCACTGCTTTCTGCAGGAAGCATGCAGCAAAGAGCAGGCGCACTACGTGCTGGCCGCGCTGCTGCTTTTGGCCGAGGGCGAGGCTGTTCCTGTGAAAACTTCTGGGCTGGACATTTTGATATGCCCTTGCAAAAAGCAGGGGGCCGGAAAAGCAAACCCAAACGCCGCAGAGCCTGCGCCGAGCGCGCTCTGCGCTGTCAGCAGGAAGGCCAAGAAGGGCCGAAAGCCGTTCAAAGAGATACTTGCAGTTCTGGAGTTTTTTCAGACACACCAAAACGCCGTGCCGATGCCGCGCACATACGAGGAGTTTTCGAGCGGCCGCTTTCTGGACAGCCCGCAGTTCCTGATCCAGGCGTACGTGTTTGAGTACATAGAGGCAAAGGAGGACGCGCTGCAGGTGGCCGCGTGTGCGTACAAAATTCTCGAGCACATGGAAAGCTCCGCAGAAACGCTCGCCCGATTCTTTGTGGGCCCCGAAAAGCGCAGCGAAGTACTAGAGAACACAAAACTGCTTGCAGAGATGCATGCCCGCCTGGCAGAAAGCAGCTGGTTCCCGTTCTGGGACACAAACACAAATCCAAACTACACGCAGGTGCGCGCCTACAGCAGGAGCAAGTGCGCGTTTTCCGACGAGCAGTTCAGCAACTGCGCCGAGGCAGGCCTCTATTCCCTGTTTTGCTGCCTTGCATACGACCCGAACAAGAAACAGTATGACATAGACGCGCTGCTTGGCGACAGGAAGGACTGCGCGGAGGCGCAGGACCTGCGGAACTTTTTCAAGCGCGACAACGTGCAGCCCGGCACGTGCGCCACGAAAGAAACCTTTGAGAGCTGGAACAGAGTGGTGTCTGGGCTGCTGCCCGGGAAAGTCGTGTACTGCCTGGAGAGCGGCAACGAGCTTCTCTCGGACGTGCTCAATCTGCTGCACGTGGTTGCGTGCGTGAGCGGCAGGCTCCCAGCGCATGGATATGCAATAGGCGCTCTCCGGATAAGGCTCAAAAGAAGCACAGAGAGCACAATAGAAGCTGTGTTTTCAGAGGCGCAGAAGCTTGCTGTTGATCTTCTGTCTGGGCTTTCAGTGAACAAGCGCATGAAGGTTGTGCTCGAAAATATGCAGGCATGCGTGTCCAGCGAAGGCCACTGCAAGGCATATGGAAGCATTTTGCTGCAGTTCTGGCACAAAAGCCAAAGCCAGCCCCAGTGCCTGTATCTGGATGTTTACAAAAGGCACACGTCGACAGAGTTTCTGCTGCCTGCGCCTTCTTTCGCCGAGGAAGAGGCCCTGCGGCTAAGCGCCGCTGTGGCACACTACAGGGAGCAGCGCTCGTTTATCTGCCACCTCGTGTCGGACTACATCCTTGCATGCGCGTTTGAGGGCGAGGATGGTGCGGACAGCTCCTTGGTGGCGAAGGCTGCAAGGCGCGCGGCAGAGGAAATGGAAAAGGATGCCTCGGGCAGCGTAAACCGTGTGTTTTTGAGCAGGCACATGCAGCACCTTGCAGATAAGGTTGTGTTTGCAAACGGTATATACATACACGGGCATCGCCTTGTCCAGAACAGCGAGCATCCTCTTGCTCGGCTTATTGCAAACATTTTTGGAAGCGCCCCGCTTGCCGATAGGCAAACACAGCAGGCTGCTCTGAGCCTGGTGGCGTGCACAAGCGGGCTCAAGCGGGGGCTAGCCCCGAAAATCCAGCTCTCCAAAGACACGTGTGCCGAGTACCACAAAAACATAAACACCTTGGGCAAGCTTTCCTTCCATTTGCAGGCCGCAGATGCTGTGCTTGCGTGCGAAGTCATTTTGGACCACCTGCAGGAGTACACAGCGCATGGGCTGCCCTTTGAGAATTGCCATGCGCTGCTTGCGTCCTCTGCAAGCACGCTGTGCGAGTGGATGTTTGCAAACAACACAGTGCACTTTGCGCAGAAGATTAGAGCGCTTGTGCAGGCGGGGGGTAGCGGAGAAGAGAAGCCGCGCGCTGCTGAGTTTGCCAGCTCGCTGTGGCTTTTTTGGTTCAGCCATCTGGCTGCAAGCTCCAAAGAAGGGTGTGCAGAGCTTGCTGCGCAGATGTATGATGAAATTGAGCCCGGGGACTGCGAGGTGCTAAACGGCAAAAAGCACGGATATTTGTACGACCAGTTCATTGTGTCCGAGGCCTGCGCTCTTTTAAGAAGCGACTCCCCCATTAGGCGCGCGCTGTTGCAGAAGGGTGGAGAGGAGAAGCTTGAGAGCGTGTGCATAATTCTTGAGAAGGCGTACCGTGGCTGAGCTATCGCGGACGCAGGCTGAGCCGGCAGCCGTTTTTGGAGCCATGCACAGGCCAGGCAGCCTTCTTATTCGGGCTTGAAGGCAGGCGGGGAAGCAGCCCTGCCCGTGCTTGGCGAAGAATTTGTATCTGAATGCGCGCGAAAAAGAAAAATAAAAAGCGGGCCGAATTTTTGTGCAGAAAGTGATAAAGTGTGATTTTATTTTTGCTGGCAGCAGAGAAAAGAAAAGGACAGCTGAATAGCGTGAGTCCAGAAGGAGCGGGCCCTGCAGAGGCCGTGCTGCTGCACGCGCAAAGCCGTGCCCTGTGCTTGGCTGTTGCTCGGGTGCTGGATGGAGCCTCGTGGCGCAGGCGTACGGAAATGGCAGACTAGGCACGCATGCGCGTAAGCAGGCTAAACTAGGCAGAAGCCAGGGCTACACCGCTGTTCCAGTGCAATGTGTGCTCCTGCAGAAGGGCGCCGTGCTTGAAGGCTGTGGCCGGCTCCAAAGAGCTGGCCGTCCCATCTAATCATAGAGACATTTAAACAAAAAAAAATTTTCGGGCATGAGATTACGCTTTTGTATAGTCTATGCGCTGTTTTTTACAGCAAGTGGCGCAGAGTGCATAGAGATGACACCCGAGAGCATGGTGGGCTGTTTGAGCGCCGTGGTGGGCTGCGTGGGAGAAACTCCTGTGATTTTGAGGCCACAGTGGCCTGGGCACCCGGTGTGCTTGAACCGGCTGGGCTGGCTGGGATATGCGTATAACATGCGGGCGTACTCGTGCGGGCTGAGCACGGGCTTTTCCCTGACGCTGAGCAGCAGCGCCTGCGGGCGCCAGGTGGCGTGCATGCACATAAGAGAGCTGCACAAGGACGAGGCATACTATCCTGCGAGCAACAGCGTGCTTAGCTACGACGAAAAGTATAGTGTGGCGTTCCATAGGATGCTGCTGTATATGTTTTCGCTGCAGAGAGTCGGCGCGCAGACATACGACCGCCTGACGATTGAGTCCGAGCGGACGGGGTGTCTCACGCGGTTTCTCCGGGAGAGCTGCAGAACAAAAAAAGAGGCGCACTACGTGCTGGCTGCGCTGGTTCTGCTGGGCGAGGGCGTCGACGTGCCGATTGAGACTTCTGGGAACAGAGTGATTATAAAAAAAAGAAAAGACAGCAATGACGTGCTGGTGGACGCGTGCGTGGTGAGGGCGGCCTTGTGCTACGGGGAAGCCCGGCCTTCCGAGGTTTGGCAGGTGATAAACTTCTTCAAGCAGTATAGGCGCGCCAAAAGGCTGCCGGACACGCACAAGAAATTTTAAACGGGGGCCTTTCTGGAAAGCCCTCTGTTTTTAATTCTTACATATGTAGGCGAGTATGCAAAAAGCATGGAGGAGATTATGTCTGTCATGCAGTGCGCGCTTAGTCTTTTGAAGAACATGGGGCTGGCGCAGTGCATGGCAGGCCCGGAAAGCGTGGTTGGCCGGTTGTTTGTGCCTGCGAGCCAGCTGCTTGAGGCCAGGGCGTACCTGGACCCGTTTCTCAGCGCGCAGGCGGAGATGGAGAGCCTGCGGCGCCTGGACGAGATTGTGGAGCTGCAGAAGGAGCTAAACACCGACATATACGAAGCATGCAGCAACGAATCCGACTTTTCAAATGACGGCAGCGGCTCAGACGAGCATGCGGCGCCTGGAGACTTTGTGGAGTTGGGCCCGCGGCGGAAGCGGTTCAAGAAAAGCCTTCTTACAGAAAGCTCTGTGTCGTGTGCAAAATACAACTACCCATACAAAACTCTGTGCATGCTCTTTCTGGCTCTTGCATACGACCCCGAGAAAAAGGCGTACGACCTGCAAGGCCTGCGGAACCGGATTGGAGACACGGAAGGGGCGGAGCGCACAAAGGCGTTTATCCAGAAGCTGCAGGCCCAGTTGGAAGCGTGCTCGTTTTTCGGGGCATTCAAGGCTGAAGATTGGAGGTGTTTGGGCTTGGGGGACACTGTGCCGGCACAGTTTGGCAGGCTTACAGGGTATGTGAGCGCAAGAATCCTGGACTCGGTGCAGGCGCTTGCTAAAATAACTGGGCAGCCAGAGGGCGTGGTGGAGGGCCTGAAGCCGGCTCCAAAGGACTGGAGAGAAATGAGCCAAAGAGTTCTGCACGGCAACGAGGTCGAGCACATTTACGCGCTTCTGCGCCCGCTGGCTGTGTGCAAAATGGCGGGCGTGCACGTCTGGAGCTACTTGTACAACTCAGACTACAACCGCGCCGTGCTCACACTAACGCACCCGGCCATAGACAGCGCCCGCAGGCAGATTCTCAAGGTGACCTTCTGCAGCCAGTACACGAAGGCCAGCATCCATCTGCCAAGCTCGCGCCTTTCTGCGCGCATGCTCAAGGACATGGAGCAGCTGGCTGCGCATTACAGAGAGCAGGCGTTCTTTCCGAGCTTTGTGTTTGCGGAGTGCCTTGACACGATGGTCTTGCGATGCAACAGCCGGCACGCCCCGGATGCAGCCCTCAAGAGGCTGCAGAAGGCGGCCAGAAAGGCCATAGAGCGCAGCCCGAACGCGCCCAACCGCGTGCTGCTCGCGCTGCCCATTGTGGGCCAGGAGTTTCGGAAGCAGGCTGTTTCTGTGCTTCTGATGTGTGCGTTCGCAGAAGGTGTTGTGCTGACTGCCGCCCACCCAATAGTGCGCCTGGCCGCAAATGTGATAGGAAGTGCGGACTACGAGTCGCTGTGCTATGGGGACGAGATTTTCTGTGTAGCCATGTATGCAAATATGCCCAGCCCGCTCCGCCCGTCAGTGCATCATCTGCCTGAGAAGCAGCTCAAAGACTTCATAGACGACCTGCCAACGCCTGAGTATTACGGGCTGTACTCCCATGAAAGGGCGAGGGTGCTCACGAGAAAGATAATCATGGAGTACCTCCGCGCGTATGCCGTGCAGGCCAAACAGCCTCTGTTCGAGTGCAAACATCTGAAGGGGCACGATGCCCTTAAAAAAATAGCGTACTATTTGCTTGCTGAGTCTCCTGCGGAGGCGCTGCTGGAGATTGGCGCGCTGCTCTGCGCAGGGCATAAAGGCGCAGAGCTAGAGAAAGCCAAAAGGCTGTCCGAGACGATAAGCTTTACTTCTCTGCTGCTTCTGCTGGCCGACGAGGGCCTGGCGAAAAGCCGCAATGATATTTTGCAGGTGTACAGCCTTACAAACCTGGCGTGCATTCAAGACAACATTGACAGCCTGTGCTATTGGGACTCGGGCACGCAGCAAAAGGCAGCCGAGTTGATGGAGGACAGCTGTATAAAAAGCGCGCTGCAGAAGGCCGGCGGGCCCGTGAAGTTCGCGGCGCTGCAGCGCATACTGCAAGAGCTGCGCACGGCTCTGCAGAGAAATAGGGCGTTATAGCATCTGCGGTAGTGGCGACGGCTTTGAAGCGCGCGCCAGCCAAGCTAAATAAATAAAGGCTCCATGAGCAGATGCCTGTTGTTTGATTTTCTGTGCCACGGCCCGAAAAACCGGGCACTTGCGCAGAATGGATGCCCATGCGGCACGACCCGACTCCTGGCAAGCTGAAAGCAAGCCTTTGCGCTATCCAAAAACACACTGTGCTTCTGCGGGCATAAAAGATGCAGGCTGCTGTGGTTTGTGCCCGGATGTAGTACTTTTCGTCGGGGGGCTTTACGCTAAAAAAGAAATCCAAGAGGAACTGGGCAGCAGAAGCAGGAATGTGTGAAGGGGGAGGAGGCTGAGATGCTGCCGGGTTGGAAGAAATGGAAGGGCAGAAGCGTTTTCGGGTGGAAGAATGCAGCACAGGGGAAGTTTGGTGCTGCCGAATGCGGCAGCGCTCTCTTCTGGAAGCCTTTCTGCTCTGTGCGGGCTGTTTCTGTGCTGCAGCTTCTTTGCCTGAGCAATCCAAGAGAGCAGAGGCGCGCAGCAGCGCCCGATTTGGCTGCGGAAGCAGAGACTGCGCGTAATAGGCATGATAACGTGTTTTGTCATGACCAAAAGGCACAATCAATTGATCACAGCAAAACGCATAAATAGAAAGGAATTTTTATTCAGAAATGAGATTGCGTTTTGGAGGATTATTATGCGGACTGCTTGCAGCAGCGCGGATGACAAAATGCATATACATGACGCACAAGGAGATGCTGGCGTGCCTGGACGAGACTGTGGGCTATGTGGACGGAGCGTCCGTGTATGTGAGCCCGTGGTGGGCGGGGCACCCGGTGTGCATAGCGCAGATTTGCCGGCTGGGGTATGCGTACAAAATGCGGGCGTACTCGTGCAAGGTGAACACAAGCTTCAGTCTGGTGCCGGACAGGCACTTAGGCAAGCATACGTATACGAGAGAGCCGGAGAAGGACGGGCTGCATTCGGGAATGGATGCTCGTAAGGATGAATACAGCGTGAAGTTCCACAGGACACTGCTGCATATGTTTGGGCTGCGGAAATCTAGCGGGCCGGAGTACGACTGCGTGACAGTTGAGTGCGCGCGACCAGGCTCTTTTATTCAGCTCCTCCGGGAGGGCTGCGAGACGCAAACAGAGGCGCACTATGTGCTGGCAGCGCTGCTGCTCCTGAGCGAGGGCGTCGACGTGCCGATTGAGACCGCTGGGAACAGAGTAATTCTAAAAGAAAGAAAAGACAGCGAGGCCGTGCTGGTTGATGCCCGCATGGGAGGGGCAGCTTTATATAGCGGGGAAGAGCAGCCATCCGAGGCGTGGCAGGTGGTAGACTTCTTCAAGCAGTACAGAGGCACACACAAAATGCCGAGCACATACGAAGAGTTTAAAACGGGAGACTTTCTGGAGAGCCCGCAGCTCCTTATTCTCACGTATGTAGGCGAGTACGTGAAAAACGCCAAGGAGCTTATGTCTGTGATGAAGTGCGCACTCGTAATTTTAGACGACATGGGGCTGGCTGGGAGAATGGAGGACCCGGGCAACGTGGCAGGCCGGCTGTTTGTGTGTACAGAGCATCTTCTGAACGTAGAGGCGCATTTTGCGCCGTTTCTAAAGACGTTTCCTGCTTTAGCGGCCTTGGAGCATTTGGAAGAGTTTAAGCACTTTCAAAACGAAGCAGAGGCACCGAATAAAGCAAAAGATGCCTCAGACGGGGAGGAGGAATACTTTGACGCCCGCGGCACGAACTGCAGGTTTATTGGAGAGTGCTTTCTCTTGCCGTTTCTTGCGTTTGACCCCGAAAAATATGCGTACAGCCTGGAGGGCCTTCTGTGCGGGGATGAGAATGTGGAGGAGGTGGAGAAAACCAGGGCGCTTTTTGGTGAGCTGCAGGCGTGCATTGAAAAAAAGTGCTCCTCTTTGGAGTGTCCCAATGACGCACAACGGCAGAGGTACAGGGACCTGTGGCTCAAGATGAACACGCAGTTTAGGGAGGCGCTGGGGAATGCCGCGCCGACGTTCCTAAACAAGATGCGCGTGCTTGCGCAGATAACCGGGCAGCCGCAGGTTGTGGTGGACGAGCTGACAGCGCACCAGGCGGCCATGGACGCCAAAGGAAGCACAGAGTTGACCTCTGAGGCGATCGAGAGCGTTCAGGCGCTGCTGTGCTCAATATCAGTAGACAAAGATGTGGAGGTGACCATTGAGAAGCAAATGGATGGCTCAGAGCCCAAACGCTATCTTTTTATAGTAAAGCATGTGAAATTAGGACCGCGTATCGAGCAAATTCTGGATATGTCGTCCGATAAAAAATGCTCCTCGAAGATATCTATTTGGCCGGCATGGCTTGGCCCTTATTATAACAAAATGCAGAAGGAGCTGGATGTGGCGGCCGCAAAATACAGGCTGTATGGGCGGTTTTCGAGCTTTGTGCTTGCGGAGGGCATGCACCAGATGGCGATAGGGGCACCCGGGCGGAGCCTTCCAGACGCAACAACCGAAAAGCTGCAGGAGGCCGCGAGAAAGGCTGTTAAGCGCCGCGGGCGCAGGCCGAATGGGGTGCTTTTGGCGCTGCCGGTTGTGGGCGAGGACATCAGGGAGGAGCTTGTCTCTGCGCTTATGCTGTATGCCGAGCAGAAGAAGATTGCGCTGACTCCAGAACACCCAATAAGCCGGCTGATTGCAAACGTGATAGGGAGCATCGACCTTGGCGACATGGCAGCGCAGTATAGGGTCTTGGAGGTGCCTGTGGCCACCGGGGCTCTGCATAAATTGTGTCCGACGGTGCAGCTGTCTGACCGACTGCATCGGGAGATTTGGTGTTCGCAGAAAATTGCCGACTATGACGTGTATCCTGCAAAAGAGGCGCGCGGGCTTACACGCCGAAGAATAATGCAGTGTTTCCGGGGATACGCTGAGTTGTAATGCAGGGAGTAGTCATGTGAAACATTGGTGTTTATTATTTTTCGACCTGCTTAAATAGACACTATTTAATTTGTCTCAAATGTCCGGGTTATATTGCTCCTTAATTAACCCTAAGAAACAATAACCAATTACGAGCAACTATGCGTCCAGCATACAACACGCTGTGCGAACAGGAGAGCTGCTGTACATGTGCAAGGTTCTGAAAAGGGCTGCTGAAGGGCCAATTCGTTGCACGTGGCTATCTGCGTCCAATCCGCGGGAAGCGCTAGAAGAGATCTGCATGCTTTTGCGGGCAGAGCACACGGGGGAGGATTTGCAGAGGGCTGAGGCTCTGATTGCGCAGCCGCAGCAGTCCTGGAAGGAGTACTTCCAGTAGAAGTGGCGGTTATCGCAAATGCAGTGTGAGACTTCCGCCAGAAGTATGTTGAGCCAGAAATGAGTAGGCCGGGAAAGTCTTCTAACGCAAAGAGTGCTCTTTTCTGCACTCACTATGCAGAAGCACTCACTGTCTAAAACATGACGGTGCGCAGCCAATAAACATAATTCGTTAGACACATCTTTCAGCGTGCTGCGCGGAGAAGAGCCGGGGCTTTTCAAAGCTTTGGCTGCTTTGCGTGTTTTCTGTGCGTTTCGCCTATTTTCAGCAAATTCTTTTTGTGTTTTTTGTGCCTCGCGCCAAGTGCAGACAAAACTCTGTGTTTACTGGGCTCTTTTGTGAATTTCTTCTGTGCACCTGGCAGCGTGCCTTGGCACACGCTTTCGTGCCGGAGTTGCAAAACCTCCCCTGCTGTTGTGGGAATTTTTATTGTTCTTCTTGCAGCTTTCGGAAGGAATCTTTTGATTTGGAGGGAAGTCTGTGGAGGTGCATTTCATTTCCTTTCGTGCGCTATATCTGCAAGTCCCGAAAGACCCTGAGCCAGCCTGGGCGCTGGGGCGGGTGTGCACAGGGAAACAATCAATAAATCAAGTGGCTATTTGTCTGTTGTTCTTTGGAGAAGCAGTGGGCCAGGAGAGGGCGAGCGCTTTATCAGTCCGCACCTTGCTGCGGAATGCTGTGTGTTTAGTGCAGTTTATGGTTAAAGCCTTGAAGGAGAAAAGAAGAAAAATAAAGTAAACAAAATGTAGTGTTCTGGAGAGGCTGGAGAGAAAAAAACTAGAATGGAGAATTTATTTTTTGGAGTATGTTGGTAGTATAGTATAGTACAGAAATAGAGAGAAGGTGCGAGAGGAGACAGGAAAGGAGAGTTTGGCGCAGGGGGGTGTGTTCTCACGTTTGGGGGCTCTGCAGAGTGCGGGAGGGTTGCTGGTGCGCGTATGCGGGCATTGTTTCTCTTTTCTGTGTGCAGAGAGAGAGACAGAGAGTGCGGCTTGTTTTTTATTTTTGAAGGCGGGAAAAGAGGGAAGGAGCACACACGTGCAGGAGGAGACGGCGAGAGCGGGCCGGGAGGGTGCGTGCATTCAAAGTGTCAGTGCGAGAGCGAGTGCTTAGGGATGGGTAGGAGGCGTACAAGACGAAAACATGCGTGCATGGGCAGTTGGGAGTCGGGTACTCGAAAGGTTACAAATCCTTACTGGAGCTCGCCTGGCATACAACAATAGTCCGGAACAAATAGAGGTGAGGGCAGGGGAGGCTTTGTGGAAAGCAAACAATAGCCGGAAAGGCGCTTAAAGCATCCTTCAGACACAGTGCAAACACAAAAATAGTGCTGCAGAGCATGTGACCCAAAAGTGCAAGAATAGCCACAGTCAACCGATGGGTGCATTTTGCAAGGACCGTTCGTGGCCGCACATGCAGAGTGCATGGCCTTGCGCTCTTTCCAGCCTGCTTTCCCTGCTTGGCTGCTGGTTTTTGTCTGAGGCATGTGGAGAAAATCTAGAGATGGCAGGCCTGGAGCTGCTCTGCGAAAGCAGCAAGAACTTGTCATTTTGATGTGTTTAAATTCAATATAAGCGCGCGCGGTTTTTCGCGCATGGGATTTTGGCAGACGCTTCGAGCAAGCTGGAAGGGGCAGGCGCTGTTGCGCGTCGGAGTTCTATTAGTGATGCTATGCGCTGCGCGTGGGAGCATGTTTATGCGCAAGCGGGCAGACAAGGAGGCGTGCACGGAAAGGCGCATCCAGAGCATGAACAGAGAAGGTTCTTCGAGAGAGGAAAGCAGGCGCAGCGAATGTTCTTCGAGAGAGGCAGGCAGGGAGGATGCGCGTTTAACTGCTGCCTTGAAGGAGCAAGCAGAAAGCTTCAAGGCATATGTAGCGCAACGCATGGAGCGGGTGGAAGAAGCCATAAAGAAGCTAGAGAGAAGCCTCAACGCAAAGAGCCCACAGAATATAGGGAAGGTAGAGGAATTGCAAAATTACATTGCGAAGCTGGAAAAAAGTAGGGCGCAGGATGCAGTGCAGATGGAGGAATATAAAAAGAATTTCAAAGATGGAGGCGGTCATACAGGATCAAGAAGAGTGCTTGGCTGAAGAGCGTGATTACAATGACCACATGCAGGCATATAAAAAAAGTTCTCGGCCTGGAGCGGGCTTTAAAAGAGCATGAGAAGTGCTTGACTAAAGCAGAGCAATGCATGGTGCAGCTGGGGGCTAAGAGCATGCAGAGCACAGAGCAGCTCGATTCTGCCGAGAGAAAGCATGCAAGGCTTGTGAACGACTTGCAGGGGAGTAGTTCGAATTTGCGTGCTGCGATGGGGAATGGGGGAAGGCTTTTGGAAGAGCTGCATGAGGTAGAAGCGCGCTTGGAGCTAGAAAAAGCATGGGTTGTGTCTGGAGGAGGAAAGCAAGGAGGAGGCCTCCGTTGAGGCAGAGAGCGAGTGTCTGTGCAAAAAGAAGGCGCCTTGTGAGACCATGTTTTAAAGGCGCGGGCAGGTGGATTGCAGGGAGCGTGTGTGGAGCTGGCAAGGTTTGCTTGGGGGGTGAAGGCTCCAGGAGAAGAAGAGCCGGGCTTTCCAAATGTAAGTAAATCTTTTTTTCATTCTTCTATTGTTTATTCATTCATTTTTTTGGGTTGTTCGGGAAGATGCCTGCGGCACGCTGCTGCGGGGTGCGTGCAGAGGAGGCTCTAGGGCACATGCAAGAGCTGTTCGGGCGAGTCAAATGGCGCTGCCTTGCTTTTATTTTCCAGGCCACTCATGCGCGCATGCGCATCAGCTATTCCTTCTGGAGTATGTGCTGCACGCCGCTGAACACCTCCGCTCCGCAGAGCGCCTGCAGCAGGGCACTTTGGTGCGCCTCCAGAGCCCCCAGCATCGCATAAGCTGCGTTTCTTCCGATATGAAGCATGTATTTGGCGTCACTATATGCCTGTATCGACCTTGGCCTCACCCTGCTGCCCAGAGCAAGCACCAGATCGGGCGGGGCGTTAGTGTGCTTCAAGCTGGCGAGAAACAGGAGGAGGTCAAAGATCGCCTTGACTTTCAGTGCATCCTCTTGGCTTTCCTCCTCTACATCCATAATAAGCGCGCCAATTTCGTCTGTGTGGTGTGTTGACTTGTCTGCAAGCACAAGGAGAAACAAGTCAGAGGCGATAGGAAAGCTTGCAAAAGCTTAGAACCGGAAAAGAGGCTCGCGCGCCTGCTTTTTGTACTCTCTAAAGTACTTCATGATGGCGTTCGCCACGGGCGCGCTGTTGACTCCAGGGCGGAAGTAGAGCTTCAAGGCGCAGATGGCGTTTGTGTTCTTATAGGTTTCAGCAAATGTTTCCTTTGACAGGCGGATTTTTGTGTACAGCTTTTCCAGCATGCCCAGGCATACAGGGCCCTCCAGCACATCCTCTTGGGTTGCAGCGTCGCCCAGCGGAAGGCTGCCGAGCAGGTTCGAGAGGAGACGCACGCCCGGGTGCGCCTGGGTGAGCTCGATACCGTTTGCTGCTGCATGCACGGTGAAGTCCTCGGCGAATTCTTGTATCTGCTCCAGCTTTAAAGCCAATCCCAACACAAAAAGCTGGTTTGGCAGTGCAGAGGCCCCATCCACAGCTAAGCGTTCTGCGATCTCCTTAATGTGTTTGGAATGCTTGCTCCCTCGAGGATCTATGTGCCTGGAACACCACGCGTCTGCATAGCCGGCAAACAGGCATTCTGCAAAGTTCGCAGGCTCTGAACAGCTGTCCACCGCAAAGAAGGCCTTTTTTTCTTCGCTGTTAAGAGAAAGGAAGACGCACGGACACAGGGTGACTACCAAATGCCCGGGCTGAACGCCTAGGCATATGCCCTGCTCGACCACGCGGTCTTTGTCTGTGCACTTCAGGGTGATTTTTCCGTAGAGGTCTTTTTTTTTATCACTTCGGATGTCGACCTTCAAGTCAGAAAATTCAACTCGTAAGCTCTTATCCACGGAGAGGGACGCGAAAAGCTCTGCCACGTACTCCTGTGTTTTTTCAAACACGTCCTCAAAGTCTTCATCAATCTCGGAGTCTTCTAGCATCTGCGCAAGCTCGCGTATCCTTGGCTCTTCCTTCTTCCGTCTGCCCGTCACCTCTGCCACAATGTAGAGAGCGTTAAAAATTCCGGAGCGCACCTCGTTTCGGCTCTCCTGTCTATACGCGATGTGCTCGCTCTGCAGGTCAGACACGACGCGGTTCCACTCCTGCATTGTCTCTTTGGTGGCGCACGCCTTTGGGGTGACACTTTCCAACTGGAAGAAAGTGCGCAGGGCCTCTGTTTTATCGCCCTCCTTTGCCTCGCCGAGCATGGTGTCTGCGTCGTACTCTTTCTGGGCTGGGTCGTGTGCAAGGCAGCAAAAGAGCGCAAGCAGGCCTGTCTCCACGCAGTTGCTGAATGTTTCGTCCAAAAGCTCGGGCTCACTCCTCTTGCAGGCGCGCACGCTTGTGTACGCCGGCAGCATGCTTGGGCTGGTGAACGGGAACGTCTGTAGAATCTTCATTCTTTCTTGAATCTGCACAAGCGGGCGCGCAGCCTTGTCTTCCTCAGCCTCAGACTTGCTCTCCACAAAGCACGCGCTGTATACGTCTTTTCTCTCATTTTCCGGCAAGCTTGTGAGGATGGCGTGCGCGCACGCTGCAAAGTCCAGGGCGTCGCTCTTGCTCGTGATGTACTCAAAGACGTACGCCTGGATGAGGAAATGCGGCGTGTTTAGAAAGTCGCCGGTGCAGAAGGCCTCTGGCGTGCACGGCAGTTTTTCTTTGCCTTTGTTGTGATTGAAGAAGTTTATGACCTGTGCGGCCTTTTTGCACGAGTCTGCTCCAACTTTTATGCTGCCTATCTCCAGTGTGATTGTTTTCTGCGTGGCCTTGATGGGCACGTCCACGCCCTCACTCAGCAGAAGGAGCGCCGCCAGCACGTAGTGCGCGTGCCGTTTGGTGGGCATTCTTTGCAGAGCCTGGAAGAAGGAGTCATCTCGGGCGACAGCGACCGACAGGGTGTACCCATCGACGGACGGAAACATCTCGATGAGGGTGCGGTGGTACTCCACAGAGTAGTCTGGGACGGTGGGGTTGGAGCCCAGAGCCGGTCCCTTTGTAGGCGGATATGGCTTGTCCTTCTGCGCGTTTCTTGTGTATTTGTGCTCTATTGTATTTTCATCGTCCCCAACGGGCTCCACTTTGTAGTCAGTTTCTATTTCAGGCGAAAAGAAGCGCTTGTTGTGTGTGTAGCCTAGCTCGGAGTACACGAACCCGCGCAGCAGGCAGAGTGGCCCCCTCTGGTTGATGAAGGCGCGGCCCTCTCCTATTTCAGTGCTTTGCATCTCCATGACCTCGTCAAACGACACCCGCGCAAGCGCGCAGTGCGCCAGCGCTGCAATTACAAGTCCATAAAATTTTGCGTGCATGATCAGGGGCAAAAAAACGGTTATATATATACGTTGCAGGTGGGTCCCTATCCCGGGCGGGCTGGCCTATCAGAAGAAGACGCGCGCAGCACAGGGGCTGCATGTAACTGGTCAACTGATCATCAAAATGATGGTGTGATAACTGCACCTATGTCTCTGCAAAGTGTGCGTCTGCATAAAGAAAGCCGGAGTCCTGCCTAACCTTCTGTGTCCAGACTCTGGAAGGCTGGCCGTGGAGGAGAGAACTGGTTTGGATTACTGAACAATTTCCTATGGCACGGCTGTTCCCAGCCTGCAATGGCTTATTTTAAGGCCTTTGGCAAGATCTGCAGACATAAAAAAGAGAAAGGCACTTCCAAGAGCTTCTTTCCTGTTTGAAAGATTCCTTCCAAAGTTTGCAAACAAAACAAAAACTTCTTAGTGTTCTGTCCTATATTCTGTTCCTGCAAACAGCCCGGCTTCTATTTTCTATCCGTGCTTTGCATGTGCTGTCTGCAAGCGCTCTGCCGCCATTCGGGGGTGCGCTTTGCTGCATTCCACATTTTCGCCAAAGGCTGCATGGCTGTGAAAACCAAACAGTCTGGCAAGCGGCCCTTTTGCCGCACTTGGCCAAAACAGGGCCTCCGGTTTCTTCTGGGGATGGAGGGCGGCAGCTTGCAGGCAGGGCTTATTGTGCAGGCACTTTTCTTGGGCAATTCGGATGCTGCTTTGGCAGTCAACAGATGTGGCTGCGTATTTGGGCAGCCCTGCTGCAGGAGAAAAGAAAGAAAAATAAAGTGAGCAAAATGTAGTATTCTGGAGCATGTTGGTAGTATAGTAGAAAAGAGAAGAAGGGCAGAAGTGGAAAGATGCAGCGAAAGGGGCAGGAGGATGGTTTGGTGCAGGGAGGCGGGTGTTCCCGTCTGGGGGCTCTGTTGTTAAGTGTGGGGGCTTGCTGGTGCGTGCGGGCGCAGCTGGGTCTGCTGTTATTGCGTGCTGGCGTGGAATGTGCAAAACAAGCCGGGCATTGGATGCGAAAGGCCAGGAGAAGGCAGTGCGGGGGCAGTGAGTGCGCAGAAGACGAAATGGGAGAGCGAAGAGAAGCCCGGAAGACAGGCGGTACGGAAGGCAGAAGAAGAGAGCATTCAGAGGTAAGGGTTTATTTTTCTGCAAGCGACATTATCTTGTAGTAGACGAGCATTGCGGAGAGGGCAGCGCAGGGGAGTGGGAGCGCAGCGGCGGAGTTTGGGTTGGCTGCTGAGCTTATGGCTGCATTGAGGTGTTCGCCCGTGCGTGGGTGCCTTTCGAGGTGTATGGAAGTGTCTGTGGGCGTGTCTGCAGAGGCGTTTTTGGTTGTGCCTGTGCTTGTAATGGTGGTTGTGGGAGTGTCTGTGCTAGTAAAGGTAGTTGTGGGGCTGCCTGTGCTTGTAATGGTGGTTGTGGGGGTGCCTGTGCTTGTAAAGGTAGTTGTGGGAGTGGTTCTAAAAGCGGGGGCGTGCAGCTTCAGGGCTGTGATCCTTTCCGCAATAACTTCTTTCTCTATTCCACTCGCGCATTGGGCATTTGTTCCCTTGATGTTCCCCTGCATGGCATTTACCTTTTCCACATATATATTGTAGCATTCTTTTTTTTTAAGCATGCGTTTCGCCAAAACATCAGCGATAGGCTTTAAAAGAAGCTTGGCGTCGCTTACCTCTAGTAGGGCGAGGCCTTCCTCTGTTGGCTTCAAGCATATCTCGCTCGTCTCCAAGTAATGCCTTGCCATTTTAAACAGCGCTTCCATGTATTGCAGGTCCGCGTGCATCGATGTTGGGTTTTCCCAGGTCTCTTTGATGGTCGGCGCGGTTTGCCGTTCCATGAAGGTTTTCAGCAAGTTCTCTGGCTTTTTGTGATTCGGGTGCTCTGAGGAGGCGTGAAAGTGCATGACCTCATTGTTTTTTATGCGGTCCACAAGAGAGAGGGCTGGGAAGGTAAAATTGCCGCCATTGCATTCGAGCATATGCAGGCCGTCTTCTTCCTGCATTGCTTCCTCTATGTTGCGGAAAGAAGCGCGTGCCGCCGCTGTAACGTCATCGACAAATCTGAACTCGTCTAGCAGCGCGTATATTTCTGCTCTGAGGTGGGAGGCAGCGACTCTGTGGCGGATGTCTGGCTCGAGGCAGGCGAAGTCCAGGATGTGGTGCACTTGCTGGAATTTTTTGTGTGTTAGGTGCATGCTTCTGATGAGGGCCCCGCGGGCAAACTTGTATGCAATTATAGGAGCCATTGCGATTTCTTTGCGCAGATCGTCGTTCTCCTTCCTGGACTTTGAGACGCAGCTGTCGGTGAGTGTTTTTATGCTTTGTTTGAGGGTGTAGCACTTCTCTTGCTCGCCTATACACTTTTCGGCCTCGTAGTGCAGGAATGTGGCTGCGAATGCGCTGCACTCTTCATGCGTTTTGCTGCGTTTGCTGTCTAGAAGGTTTAGAAACAGAAAGTAGCTGTGCGCAGAGTTGTGTATCTCGTCTTTTGAGGACAGGCCTACTGTCTTTTTAGTGCCCTGCAGTTCGCCGAGGTTGATGTATTCGTCTGTAGCAAGATGGTCCTTCGGGTAGACGCCCCTTACAAAGTTGGACCAGAGCTTTGTGTATCCGGGCGGGGTGTGGTTCGAGCGGGGTGTGCGCGTGTGCTCGCACGTAAAGAGGTTTAAGCAGTCCCCAGCCAGGGTGTCCTCTGCAATGCAGCGATTCCCTTCTTTGGTAAGTGCGACCAACGGCGTGGGGCGGTTAAAGCATGCATCCAGGCCTGCGGACATTCCAATTGTCCCGAAAATCGCTAGCAGCAATGCGATGACAATGCGCAAATAAGAGTTCATGCGTTTGGGCTATTCTGCTCTTTAAATAGCTGATTTTTAATAACCCGATTGTTTTTGTTTATGTAGTGATTTATTGGAATTCCCACAAATCAAAGAAAATAAAAATTCCCGCTCACTCTGGTTTTCCACTTTCGTGTTTCCTTCCAAGTTGCACATTCTCTTCATCTATCATCCGCGCCTTTCGCCTGTCTGCCACGCAAGTTCCTATGCGGCCTTTCGCAGATGTTTCTTCGCTTCCCTTACGCTCCGGGCGCATTCCATTACCCTCAATCTGGGCTTACATGGCCACGAAAACAAGGGTACTTCTAAGAGCTTCTTTCTTGTTTGAAAGTTTCCTTCCAAAGTTTGCAGAGCACGCTTCTTCTGAGGCTCTGCAGGAGCAAAACCAACCCGAATTCTCTCGAGTCCTCTGCAGCCGCCTGCGCCTTGCCTTTTTTTTGCCCAATGCGGCGGCAAGACCAGCGATCTGTGCACGGCTGTGCGGACTATCCAGGCGGGGCAGGCGGGGAAGGGCCTAGTGCGGGCGGGGAAGGTGGCGCAGGAGCTGCTGTTTACGTGTCTCCTGTTGATGTTTTTCCACTTTGCGGCAGAGCGCCGCGCGCTTCTGCTGGAGGTGTACCAGCTCACGAAGACGGCGCATTTTAGCAAGCACATTGCCATGGGGTGGAACCTCGACTTTTTTGACGATGTACTAAAGAGCACCCGGCGCAGCAGCATGAAAGCTGCGCTTTTGGCGAGCGGCGGGATAGAGAAGTTTGCAGCGTTCCAGAAAACACTTGAGAGGATGAAGCGTGTGCGGCAGAGGTCCTGAGGTGTTCGGCGAAACGGCAAGTGGCGCGCGTGCACACTTCCTGCATCTGGCGCAGAATGGAAGAAAAAAGAAGAAAAATAAAGCGAGCAAGATGTAGTGTGTTCTGGAGGGGTTGGAGAAAAAACTAGAATGGAGAATTTATTTTTTGGAGTATATAGCAGTGTGTAGTAGAAAAGAGAAGGAAGGCATAACGTGGAGAGAAGGTGCGGCAGAAGACAGGAAAGGATAGTTTGGCGCAGGAAGGCGGGTGCAAAGGGGCCCTGAAAAGAGCAGGCAGAAAGTTTGTGCTGTATGCTGGACGCATAGTTGCTCGTAATTGGTTATTGTTTAGACAGACCTAATTGAAAGGTCAATACATTTTGGACATTATCGGACAAATTACACACACGTGTATTTAAGCAGGTCGAAACCAATAAAGGACAATGTTTGACATGGCCAATTCCTGTATTACAACTAGTGAAGAGAGAAGGGTAAAGAATGCAAATTTACCAAAGATTTATTATGCAGGCGAAAGAAAGGCGAGTGCGAAGTACACGCAACAGGATAGGGATACCGAAGACTCCGACTGGGAGACTCCCAGGGAGAGTAAACCCAAAGAAGCTCGATTCCCCTCAGGGAATCCGGAAGAACTCCGTCACATAGGGGAGATACTAGACGCTTTAAGGGCTTCGTGCAACTATGGAGGCAAAGTGGAACGTATTCTGGAAGAGCTAGAGCTAAGACTCCACCTCCAGGCATGGGGCCATGACATGGCACCCAGTATAAGGGTTTATTGTTTAGCTATAGGTATCTCTGATATTAAGTTCCCTAACTTAGCAGAAGCAAGGAGGGCACTGGTAGAGCTGAGTAGACGTCTGTTTGCGGAAGAGTCAAGAAACCAAGGAAGAGGATGGACAGAGGTAAAACCTGATGTTATAGAGCGTTTCGAGAGTACTCGGAACTACAAGCCGTACCAGTTTCCCCGGAGACCCGAACGAGTGTCCGAATGGGAAGTTTGGTTGAGTAGAGTCGCCACAGCCATAATGATGGAACTTACCACATTCCCTGAGCTGAAGGCCGAAATTATGGAAGCACCGGAGAAATATCCATGGGGCTGGGATGAAGTGAAGTTCAACCAACATTCCAAGGAAGTACTCAAACAACTTTGGAAAACCATGCAGGAGTATATACGAATAATGGCTCCGAGAGAACGTAACCCGGAGACTAAATCGTCGCCCAAGAACAAGTCCAAATCCAGTCGATCCACAGTAGTATGCACCAAGTGCAAGCGAAAAGGCCATTCTCAAGAGACGTGCTACGCCAAGACGCGAGACGCGCAAGATCGACAAAAGGAGTCCTCTGCAGGCCGGGCGACGGGAAAAGAGGCCGCTTGGAAGACACTGGCTCGGATGGGAACTGCAGACAGCATGGCTCTTGTAGACACGGGGGCATGTGCCACAATACTGAGAAAGGAAGTGTATACAGAGCTAAAACAAGAAGTTGGCGTAATGGGAGAAGGGTCGGCAGGGAAGGCTTGCGGCCGCGGGCGAGAAGTGGCATGCGGGCCTGCAGAGGGGCGGCTTAGTAGATGGCGCGCGCTGGAGGGAGTCTGCCCGGAAGATCTAGCTGGAAGGGGGCGGCAGGCATGCAGGCCCGGCGAGGATGCGAAATAGAGAAGTGGGGTAAGAAGGGGCAGGGCAGTTGCAAAAGGCAGGCTGCGCTGCAGTGCGTTCTACCCTGCACATCTGAGCGTCTGCTGGCTCCATCCACCCAGCCAGGAGGGCAAACGAAGCGCAGCGACTCTGTCCGGCCCGGAGAATGCGCCACTGGCACAGACGGGTTGCGCGGCACGAAGTATTTGACGAGGCAGAGCAAAACACAAGAGCATCCACGACGGGAGACGGGGCGAGGACACAAAAGCATCCGATCGAAGACACAAAGAAATATGTCCAAGTGCACGGTGTGCTTGCAGAGAGGGAATGGGTGTGCACTCGAGCAAACAAAGGCGGGGGGAAGGCGAGGACATAGTGCTGGCTGGCTATTTCTCCCGAGAATGGGCAAGTCCGTAAACCCGGGGGGCAGACAGAGTTCAGGCCCTCCTGCAGCACGGATTCGGGTTTAAAGGAATGTACAGAGAAGGAGAAAGGGACTCGGCAGCGCACACGCAGAGGGCTTAGCTGTGGAAGAGCAGAGGTGGGCCAGGTGCGCACGGGGGCAGCAGAGAGTTGGAGAAGTGCCGGAGACAGGGTACTCTACGAAAAGAAGCCAGAGCCCACACAAAGACGGCAGGCACTTTGAAGAGGCAGGCATGGCTCGGGAGAAGGGATGCCTGCGCAGTAAGGAGGGGTGCACTAGCGCAAGGCGGCCAAGCATGTGGCCAGGCCACAGGTTGTCGCGGGTGCTGGTTGCTGTTTATGCTGGCTTGGCAGAGGCCATGCAAGAGTACGACAAATTAAAAGCAAGAATAAGTATTTACGCAGGACAAATTTTCTGGACAAAAGACAACTTTTCACTGGCGCTTCAAGTGTTGCAACCAGATGTCTGGCATGGGGGGATGGGCGGCATGGAAGAAGCCGAAGGCTGAAATCCAGTCGAAAGAAGTTTTATTTTTGCTTGCAGGGCCGAGGGGAAAGTTAGAATTCGGGCGATTCTATTTTTGGCAGAAGTTGTATAAAAATGCAGCGAATATACTGCTAAGAGCAAGCAAGCGGCAATCGAGCGCACAGGCGCATTCCTCTGGCCGGGAGCAGCGCGGGCATAACAAAGCAGTTTGCAAAGGCTTTTATTTCGCAAGAGAAGGCCGCAGGCCTTGTGCCTTTCCTCTGGTGCGCGCATGCGCTGCGGCTATTTCTTCCTCTTTAGGATGGACTGGAGCATGTCCACCATGCCGTTGAACACCTCTTCTCCGCTGGGCACCTGCGACAGAGCGCTCCGGCGCCTCTCCAGATCCTGCAGAAACACAGAGGCTTCATTGCTGTCTATATAATAGCTGCGTCTGTACGTCTTGATTGACTTTAGCTCAACCCTGCTGCACAGAGCAATCATCAGATCGGGCGGGGTGTCTTTGTGTTTCAAGCTGGCGAGAAACAGGAGGAGTTCAAAGATTTCCTTGGCGTCTCGCGCCATCTCCAGATATTCTTCTTCCACATCCACAATAAGCTCGCAGATTTTGTCAATGCGGGCCGTTGAGTTGTCTGCAAGCAAAAGGGGGAACAAACTATCGATGTTGAAATTCCCTGTTAGTAGTTCGCACCGGAAAAGAGACTCTCTCGACTTAGCCGTGTACTCTGTAAGGTACTTCATGATGGCGTTCCCTGCGGGCGCACAGTTGGTTCCGGTGTACTTCCATATGTCTCGGATGCTGTATGGGTGTCTATAGAATACAGCAAGTATTCTCTTTGCCAGGCCAATTTTTGGAAATAGCTTGCCCAGCATATCCAGGCATACTATATCCCCCAGCGATTTGCGTTGCGTTACATTGTCGTCCAACGGAAGGCTGCCGAGCAGGTTCGAGAGGAGGCGCGTGCCCGGGTGCTCCTGGGCAAGCTCGATACCGTTTGCTGCTGCATGGAAGATGAAGTCCTTAGTGATTGCGAATACCGGGTCCTGCTTTAAAGCCAGCCCCAGCACCAAAAGCTCGTTTAGGTGCTCTGGGGCTGCATCTGCCGCCAGGCGGCCTGTGGCCTCCCGTATGCCTTGAGCAAGCATTTTCCCTTGAGGATCCAT